ATACAAATTGAAAATTCGAGAACATTTGTCTACTAACTCACGAAGTTATGGCGTCTCATTATATTGATATAATAAATCTGAATTATATATTACTCTGCACTAAATAAACAAAGAAAACAATAACTGAATGAGTCTCAGACAAGTTTTTGTCATCTTCGTTTCATCTTTCAAAAAACGAAAGAAAGTCGTCTCTTTATCCCGTTGAGATGATAATAAACAACCGTACACAGCACAATTTACGACCATTATAAATAGTAACGTACCATGATGTTATATATTAACGTACAAGTTTCGTGCTGCATAAAATGAAAACTATATTCAAATACCAAAGCCGTCTTGACGCGAAAACGGTTCGCCGACAGCCTTGTTGTCGTTCAGTCAATGTGACCATCGTAGTACGGGCCGTGGTGCGGTATCTAAAGCTAGGGAGGAGCGGAGACTGTCCATTCTCTTACTTTTTTGTTTTCTGACGTCGCGTTATATTCGCCATCTAGTGTGTCATAAAAGAATCAAAATAGCTCCTGGAAGCTAAAAACTTAACATGAACTCATTTTGTTGTATGTGACTGTGTATCTGTATAGAAAAGAAAGAAAGAAAGAAAAATAATTTACTTGGCAACATTTTACAATAAATAATACAAAACAAACACAATCATACATTATATGTTACCAAAACGGTCACCACTCAGCTTTTTGTAATGAGACGTTGAAGAACGCCTCATTACGCTGGTTTTCAGTGGCGCCATAAAAGGACAAAAAGAAAGATGGCGCCTCGTCCAAGCAGGCGGTAAGATAAAAATATTATATAAATTATATAAATATTATATAAATAGTATATTATGTAATCTGTGCTATTAGATAGGTCCAGGCAGTCGTTCCCACAACGATTCAACTCCTAGAAACGTATGGACAGTTCTGATGTTTCTCACACATAAATAAAATTCGGTTCAAGTTATTGACTTAGTTCAAGTAGTCATAATTCGAAGGAACATAAATAACGTCAAATGGGTCAATGCCATCTAGCGGATTATTAGTAAATTATAAGTAAATATCGAGTTCTTAGGTTTTCGCGATTGTTACATAAAGAAAATGAAACTGCTTTTCCGGATTTGAATCGCGTATATTTCTTTTTTCAAACAAACCGATGTTTCGGGCTCTTTACAGGTCCCATGGTCACGGTTGACTGAGTAAATAAAAGTATATATTCTGTTACAAGTTACAAGTGTAGTTTACGCAATTTCTCCAACATTTATGATTCTACAAACCTTTGACATCGTTTTTTATATAAGAATATTCGCCACCTGTTAACTTTAGTAACCCCACTACAGCGTGTTAATTGTCAAATGTCTTAGCGTAGATAATGACCATAAACGACTTAAATAGGCTAATTACAGTGCATTGTTCACTTAACCTGTGATTAGATAACCCATTGTATGTACACCATTATTACTTACAAAGTAGATATGAACATTTTTTTACTAAGTGACGGTGACGGTACGAACGACACGCCTATACATAACAGTTGCAGTGCCACTCAGAGCTTTAAATCTCAAAGATCTTAGGGGTACTGCCACTGCGCCCGTCACACTGAGACATAAGTTAACAAGTCCCATGTGCCGGTAGTTTCACAAAAACCTTCCAAACCGAAACGCAGTAATGCTCACATTACTGCTTCTCGGTAGAAATAGGTAAAGTGGCAGTATTTCCCTGGACGAACTCTTTCACAAGGAGCTCCACTGCTACTAAACAATATACACACATAAATACAACTTCGATGACATAACGACTTCAATATGACGTTATAATCCATTGACTTACAATTATATGGACGTCGTCGGGTCCGCGCTAAAAAGGTTCCGAACTTATAGGGCGTTAAAATCGTATACAGAGCGTCATTCACGCTTTAGTCTTCGTTTGTTCGACTGACAGCGAAGCAAGCAAAATTAGACAGTACTGCGATGACATTACAATTTAAATTCAACGTTTTAACGTTTTCATATTCCTTTACATGTCACTACGTTTAAATAGGTTGACTTGGGACATTTTTTTCGTGGTTTTTGTATTAGACCCGTCGTCCATTTATTTGTAAGTCAATGTTATAATCGTCAAATAAGTAATAATCAACCAAATTAAAAGAAGCATGATGCTAATGAAGCTTCATACTTGATGTTGTTGTTTGATTTGGTCTAGTATTACGTATTTGACAGTAGTTGTTTCGGACAGACGTCTGACGTCAAACGGAAGTAGACCTCCTGGTCTGGGTGGTAAATGCCCCAGAATGAATTTTGTTGCCCTGGAACTCATAGCACAGGGAATTCCCTAGCTTGAGACAAGGCAATTGGTGTGGTTGTCTGGCACATTATTATAATAATTTAAAAAATATATAATTATTAATACAAAGACCGAAAACTCAGAAAAATTCCTTCGATCCGGCCGGATTCGAACCGACGTCTTCTAGCATACCGTACCAGACGCTATACCAACTAAGCCATAGAAAGAACCAGCGGATCTCACGAATTTTGCTATGTGCTTCCGTCGTATCTTTGTATTTGGTTTTTCAACGACTTTTTAGCCGTAACGTCATCTATGATATTTCGTCGCCCAGTTAGATAGATATCTTTAGAGCTACCAGCCCCGGCAAGAGATGTCGCTATTCGTTGTATTTAAATTTTTATTGAATTGATATTCAATTCTTTTTATGTGAAATTACTCTAACTAGTGGAGTTCCGTGGCTTCGTTGGAATAGCGTCTGCCACGGTATGCTAGAAGACGTCGGTTCGAATCCGATTGAAGGATTTTTTTCTGTGTGATCAATAACAAACTAGTGGAGTAATTTGACATAAAAATAATTGAATATTAATTCAATAAAAATTTTTTTTAAAACTTTGGAACCGGGAAAAATACTCATCGCCGAGCCCCGACCGTGTCTCGACCAAACATGTTTGACCGTGTCACGGTTGGGGCCGGCGCACAACCGGAGCACGTCCCGACCCCGGCACGGTGTAACATGAATCAACCTTAAAAGTTCCTGTTGAGCGTTAATCGTTTCTGAGTTATCATTGTATTTTTTATATTCAAAATGTCTTTTAATACTTTATTCTATCTCTGATAGGATAACCTAGGTAAAAAACCCTTACCTCCTAAAACCAAATCAATTTAACCTTCACATTTCTCAACAGAAACTCGGCATTGCAACTGTATACCTCTTCGGAGGACTTCTCCGAGGCAAACACCCCATCCGCCACCTCCACAGCCACCAACACACCCATTACCGGAGTTCCCGAGACCTGGCCTAGAAAATGGCGGCGAACTGACCGGAGACTTAGGCGATTGAACACTGAACTGTTGGAAGCCATTGAAAGCCACGACACTGAGGAGACTGAAAGGTAATTGTATATGCACTTGCAGTTTTTTAAATTACGATATTTTTTAAATTGTAACAAACCTACTTTATGTAGTAGACGGCCTTAAGCCAGATTGTTCACTTTTAGTTCTCTAAGAATCCGCTAGATGGCATTGACCCATTTGGCGTTATTTCTGAATTGCGGTGTTAAGATTTTCCCTCGAATGGTGACTACTCGAGCACAATTGTGTTAATGTGAAGAGAAATCTGAGAATACAGAGAGCTCAGTAAGGCAACCAGGAGTTGAGTCCCTTCTTGGGAACTGCTACCCGGATCTTCTGATATTTCGTACGCTCATATAGGGTAAAAAACCTCTCGCGGTTTCTAGGAGTCGAGTCCCTTGTTGGGAACAACTGCCCGGAGCTTCCGCATATAGGGTGAAATTGTATTGGCGAGATACAAGGTGAAAATAAAATCTTCTGAACAATCTGGAGTTTCACTTGGCTTGTTTTGGTAACCCCATCCAACGGAAGAAAGAGCCTCTCTCCTTTACAATGTTTGATATATATATTAATTGTTCCGTCTATATTTTTAGTTGATCTGCCCGCTATTGCATCGGAGTCGTCTGACGCAAAGTGTCTACCTTTTTATGAACTTACAGCTTCAATATGCGATTGCCATTCCGTTCGCCCTTTAATCAATCTTCATAAATCAATAAACTTCCGTTTAGGAGAGACATACATGACTATCGTCCCGGCGACCGTGAGGCGACAGGCACGTCTTCGATATACCATATCAAACTTCCATTAATACACATAAAGAAGGATCAAGGCGACATCCCGTGTATTTTGTGACTCAGTGTTTTTGACGACGTGCATTAAGGAGACCTATCAATACTTGTAATTGATGTGAAAGCATCAAAAAAGCTAATTAAGTACAAGGTTACCTATTAGTAGTCGAAATGACAATTTTTCAGAAATAACGTTTGGTCGAAATTTCATAACCTCGAAAGTAATTTTAAGAGGAAAATGTTTTTTCTTTTAAACCTAAGTTAACCTAACCTTACCGAACCTAATCGTGTCTTTGCGATAAACATTCAACATATCCTGAAAGAACAACTGTTTCGTTATAATTCGGTTTTCGGTGTAATGAAAATTCGGACAAACATTATTTCGGATAAAAAAATTTTCAAGTTTGTGATAGGTTACCTAAGTACAGCCTGGTCACATATTAGCTTCTTGGGGAATGAGGAAGCGGACCGGTTATAAAGTTGATATAGGTTATGTTTATAACATGATCCTGTATTTCGCTTCAGATGTTTGTTCCTGGTAGCAGAAAACAACAAGTTTTCAGTTTGTTCCCAAAAATAATAAAAAACTTCCCGAATATTCCCAAATCTGCCAAACTCTGCCACATTTCATATAACTTATCATATTCTGCAGCAATGAATCTGAATAAAAATTAAATCTGTCCAAATGGCAGAAATCTGCCACAAATGGTCACACTGTTCTCAATATCAATGTGACATTGACATTGGCAAGAGGTCCCTTGTCAAAACGTCTATTTGCAACTTTCATTATCTCTCATTTAAATATTGTTTAAATATTTTTGTCACATTGTATTTTATTTTTTCATTAAGTATTTCATAGCTTTAATTATTTATGTGTGTACTATAAAATAACCAATACTTCAGGCAGGTAAACATTCAATCATGCTTAAAAAGAAACGTACTTACACACTTGTTGAGTTAAACGAATCATGTGTTTTGCCACAGAACAATAAATACAGTAGAAGTGGTGAGCTAGCGTCAGACGCGTGCCAACTATAGGTCTCGAAAGACTTATCTAAGCTCAGGCCACCATTTTCGCTTTGTATGGTATGGTTGTGTCGTTCTTTCGTGCAAACTCTCTAACATCCTAGAAAAATGCCTTTTTTTTGTTACAAGAAACAACAGTAAAGCTTATACCTCTGCAATATGGTTGCTTCTTCTTTAGAGAACTAAATTAATAACTCCAATTCATCGTCGCTCAGCAATGAACCGCTAGATGGCAGCACATTGATTGATATTTCAATATAATATCAAAACATCGTAACTTGTAATAATAGGTATTGAAGTTTCCACGATATGTCAACAAGATAAAGTTTAAATTATATTAACAATCCAGAATTTATTTCTTTTTAAATTTGAAACTGCGATCAATCATTATGAAGATTTTGTAGTGCTCAAATTAATCGCGGCATAAGGCATTTCCATTGTTTTTTCTTCTGTGTGTTTTGCATACTATATAAAAAAACGAATGGATATAAACAACAATTCGTCCCGTTTTTTAGACTCCTCCATGCTGGTGCCAACCCCAACGCAACCTGCCGTTTAGCGCTCGTGTCGGCATGCCACCTCGCAGCTCTATCAGGTGGCGATGCCTTGGCCTTGCTCCTCAAGTTCGGAGCTGAAAAACACCGACTCGATAAACTAGGAAGAACTCCGTTACACGTGGCCGCTTGGGCTGGCAATGCCAGACAAATGGCTATGTTACTGGATTTCCCAGAAGGTAAGATTTTTAAAATATCTACAGAGAATCTTTCATGTTTTATTATGCGCGCAGCACAGGAATGGAATTCCCTGCCTGCGACTGTGTTTCCGAGCGCATACAACCCAAGCATCTTTAAGATACGACTGAATAGGCATCTTCTGGGCGAGCTCGTTCTATCGTATCCTATCTTTGCTCCAGAGCTAGGTAGTGGTCAAGAGCAAATTTAGTTTTAAAAAAATCTGAATATTTTATAGATCAGCCAATGACCAGACCAGAACCAGAACTTGACGAGGCTCTAGTGCTTCGAGCACATATTTGAGTCAGCCGATATTAATAGAATCTTTATCCAGGAGAAACGTGCGATTACGGCAATTTACAATCTGGGCCCCAGAGTGTCTTTGAGAGATAAGTTTAAAGAAAATAATATTCATATGCTAGCGTCACATTACATTTATGAATATGTAATTTATACAGACACAATTTCATTTAAGGGCAATGTATACGCTTCTATAACCGGTTGATATTCAAAAATTTACCATTTACGAGGTTTAAAACTATAGTGAAACAAAAACTTTACACCAAAAGCTTGTTACAGTACACCTTCTGAGTACTTGGATCACAAAAATCCGTGATTGTGACCCGTTTAGCTCTTACAGGTAGTCTGGATCTACGATGTTTGAAATAAATAAATACTGTAAATTAGAAATGTATACTAAAGTATATTGTATACGAAGAGCAATCCCTAGAGTTTCTTGCTCATTCCTCTCAAGGGAATCTCCCTTACGAATGAACAGTCCCATATCTTTCTACATAAGTTTTGTTTACAGTGCCCTTCCCTATCAACCTCTTGGTTATGCGGGAAGGGCACTATGATCTGTACAAGCGTACTTGCACAGGAACCATCAAAGTCAGGTCCTAACCCCGGATCAGCACGTTTGCACGCACTTCATCCGGTTCTCTGTAAGGCTAGTGCCTTAGGCGAGCCGCCCCGGGTGCACGTACAATACCCTCCCTATTTTCCAGATAGGTACCGGAGCTGTAGGCACGCTCACTTCCCGTCGCGCTCCGCACGACTAACGGTTGCCACCGCTGAATCGCCGACTCTAAGTCGACTACCAAATTTCCTCATTGGTGGCGGAGTTGTAAGGCACGCTCCAGTTCCCAAATTCTTATACGACCGGAGGGACTGGAAGATGTCTAGCTCATCTTCTATTATCTCTCCGGGCTAGTGCCGGAGATGCCAAGTGGCAGTGTCCTGCGACAATGTCCGGACATAGCCACCGACTTAAAGGGCAACACACGTGTCCCGCGCGTCTCCTCGCCTCAGGCCCTCAACTAGACCGCTACTAAGACGCGCTCGCTGCGCGCGGGAAGAACGCCCCGGTCACCATCTACCGGGGCAGACGAACGTGTTCATCCCTGCAGCTAACCACAAACCCCGGCGAGCCCGTACGCAAGTCCGGGTCCGCCAAAGACGCCCATGAAGACGTATCACTGGCGGAGGGCTTGGCCCGGATGCCCGCCGTACCGTGGTCTTGCGGTCGAGCCCGTAGTCTCTCCGGAAAATCCTATCTCTCGGGTCAGTAGATAGGGACCTTACGAATGAACAATAGACTTTAATCAATATGACGAATTCAAATGTAATTTGTTTACCCATGAATTAAGATGATTGGAGTTTGAAGCAAAAATATCTAGCCGCACATCTCTATGCTGTAGTGTATCTGAATAGATATCCGACCTGTTGTTACCGCAGAGCAATGGTGCCTGCACTACACCACGTTCTTATTTCTTAAAGTGGTTACACACGGCATCTTTTAGCAGTCAGTCTAGTAGCCGTCTTTTAAAGTCACGTGTATATGTAAAGGTAGACGAATAACTACTGCATCGCTACTGGATCGCATTTACATCGCGTGTGCATCGTTGCTAAAAATCGCCGTGTGTAACAGCTCTTAGACGAAGAGTAGGAAGAGCTAGTACTTGCAGGCCTATGAATCTAACAGCAACATAATTCAAGGTATGTTTACAATAGGGTGCACGAATAAAAACCTTGTCAATAGACACAATAAGGTAAAATTTATTATTCTATCTTCGACACCTTCAAAATAGTTCTTACAAGAGAGCAAGCATACAACGCTTAGTACTCGTTACCCAATCAATTTCTTCCATACCTACCTGTAACATATTATTTTCTCATAACTACAATGAGATGGAATTCCTTGTCCGGAGCTACTACGGCTTCGGTCTTCTTGGAGACCAGACGTAGTACCAACAGCTCATCCAAAATATCCTAAAATTGTAAAATGTTCGTTCATTATTGGTAAATCAAAAGCAGTAGATCTCTTTGTGAAAGAGTTCGTTAAGGGAAGTACTGCCACCGTATCTATTTCTGCCGCCAAGATGAGTAATGTAAGCATTACTGCAATAGAGATCATTATGTAGAATAGAAATTCTTGTAAAGGTAAACGGTGGCTGAAATAGGTAAGGTATTTTCTTGGACTAACTCTTTTACAAGGAGCTCTACTGCTACTATTAAATTTATTTTTTATTAAATGTATTAATAATTAAATCGCACTTGGAAACCAGAACCGCCACTATAGGAAAAATTTAATTTTCTTCATTAAAGTTTCTGAAATTAAGTTTAAATTTGAATACATGAGATATTTGTGCGATGTTATACTTCCGGACACAATTCGAGTTACTTTGCATTTTCAGTCTAAATGCCCTAAGATTAAACAATGTTTGATTAATCAAAAACATTATGCAATTATGTAAGTGATATTTAAAACTTCCTTTCCATAAATCCTAATTAAAAATTTTTATTTCATAAACCGGAGAAATTTTTATCCGATGATAGCAATATTTTTGTATTCTAATCCTTTAAAATAAAAATACAAGATGGCTCGTATCGTGTCTGGGAGTGTGTATTATATTCTAACTAAAAACTTGCAACTGAATTTTTTTTTAACTTACAATTTCTTTGAGAGCATTACTAGCATGATGGGACAGGTTCCTCATGTGTGTTGAGTATGTGGCTGCCGTCAAGCTATCCAGAGTCGTCGTCTCCGGGAACCCTTCAATGAGAGTAACAAATTAATCTAAAGATAAAACCTACGTGGTTCACAAACTGGTTGGTTCAACAAAAGAATCCTTGATGAGCACGAGTGCAGGCGTCAACTTGAACCTTGATTTGCTGAACCGACCAGTCATCGTGAGATACCCCACATTCCATTAACACTTAAGAAATACATTTGTTTAAATACAATGAGATTGTGTACATTACAAATTAAATTATGACATAGAACCAGGAAACACAGTTGTGTTCAATTGCAACGTACATCGCGTACAGAGAATTGCCTACGATTCTGCACTAGGCAAAGCCTGTCTCGCAGGTAATCGATAAAATCCTTGAAGAATAACGTTAGGAAAGAACAGCACGAAAGAGAATTTTTACGATTCTTGGATAGTTTAACATATTATGATAAATCTGTATGTATATAAAGGCCGTCCTCCGTCAGACGTCCGTCCGGAATAATTCAATTCAATTCAATTCAATTCAAATACTTTAATTCAGATTTCATCCATATTGGTTAGTATAACAAACAAAAACTTACATACTAGTGTTAGAAGATACAAATTCATAAATACGTGCTGGGTTTAGGACATACACGTAATTTTGTCCAGTGTTCAAAAAATGAACCCTGGACCCTGCCAGCAACAATACCCACAATGCTATTACCGCTGCCACGAACTCTGCGCATCAAGGATGCCGCTCTTTTTCTCATTATGGCGGCAAATCCGTCTACATGGGCATCGGCGAACATTCCTGACGCGCTACAGAATCGCGGCAGCCGCAACAACATCCGGAATATATTGTTATATACAACTCTTAGAGAGTTGATAGCTTTCTGAGTGTAGTTGACCCATAGGCTGCAGGTATAAAAGGTCTGGCAGTAAGCTTTAAAAAGAGATACCTTTACGTTGTCCGTACACCTTGCAAACCTACGGGCCAACATATTACCCCGGACTGCTATTGCCCTACGCTCTCTCTCAATGTCAGTGTTATCCTCCAAGGACTCACTGACCCAATGCCCAAGGTACTTAAATTTAGTAACCCTTTTAAGAGAAGTGCCACACAGCTTAACTTCAGGGACGTTATTAAAGCCATTGCTACCCGCTTTGAACACAAGCAACTCACTCTTAATCGCATTGTACCGTAAGCCATGGATCTCAGCATAGCGCTCACATATTGCAACTAGTTTTCTTAGCGCGCTTATTGAAGGACTCAGCAACACCATATCATCCGCGTAACTGATATTATTCACAATCTTTCCATCCAACGAGCATCCGATTCTGGTGTTGCAGAGTTCAACAATTAAACCGTTCATGTATATGTTGAAGAGACTTGGCGAGCTCAATCCCCCCTGTCTCACGCCACACTCCAACCCATACATGCCCGACTTCGCGCCCGCCCATCTAACATAGTTGCGCTGATTATTGTACCAAAACTTAAAAATACTAACTATGTCACCTGGTAGATCAGTTTCATCCTGTAGCTTACTCCACAGCCTATCATATGATACAAGATCAAAAGCTTTGGATAGGTCGAGGAAGCAAGCATAAACAGGAGTTTTCCTAGAGGTATAATACTGGACAGTTTGCTTGACAAGCAATTAAGGAAGCACTTGAAATTGCATGACGCTCAATTTGGGTTCCGACCGGGAGTTTCAACAGAAGCTGCTATCCTTTGCCTCAAGCACACTGTCCAGTACTTTTCCCACTATAGTAGCCAGGGATATAGGTCTATAATTGCTAATACTAGAGACATCACCCGTCCTGTTCTTTACAATGGGGACAACAACAGTTTTTACAACAACAATTACTATCAAATAAGTAACACTCGCCAAATCAAAACACAATGTCAAGTATGAAGCTTCATTTGCATCATGCGCCTTTTACTTTGGTCGAGGTCTTTTACTTATACGATAGTAATTGTTTCGGACGTATGTCGGTCGGAGAATGGGAATAGACCCCCAGGTTAGAACGAGTCCGAGTCTTTGTAAGAGTATCGCTGCTTATAGTCGCTGTGTGTAACTGTGTGAGGCAACTCGGTATTAACAGCGAGTCGACTGCGACCTAGTCTACCGACTTTAGGTACTGCCATTAGGTACATCCACAATATAGGGGTGGAACCCTAGCCTACGTCTCGTCCCCAGATGATAGCAAAGAGACGGCGGCATGATTTCGTTAGAATTCCATAGCACACTCTCTTTTTTCCTCACACTATTTGTACTGTATTCACAAAGTTTCTTTTAAAACAATGCCCACATTTTTGTTCAAAAGACTAAGACTAAGTATCTCATTAAATGTGAAATCCCTTGTTTATAAACTTTTTCTATCAGACGATAACAATTTATCTTACTTTGAATTCCGTCTGTTACTTCTGACGTCAACCCCTGGAGAGTCGTCTAGACTTAAGCCAAGACTTAAGTCTGACTGGATCTAGAATTAACTGTTATACTTTCAATTTAATGCTAGTAATTTGTGAAACAAGTAACTTTTGAAATATTTGAGGAAACAAGGTATTAGCGAAAATATACTCCCGGACACGTAATTCGAGCCACCTTACATTTTCTATATTAAATGCCCGTAACTTGTATGTAACAATGCTTGATTGATCAAGAACTATTATGCAACTTTGAAACTGGTATACCTACTAAACGTCATTTCCTAAAGCTCTTATTGAAAAATTGAATTTAAAAAACCGGAGAAAACTTTTTCTTCGACAATAACTACTTTTTTGTGTTCTAGCCCTTTAAGGATAAAAATTCAAGGTGGCTCGAATTATGTGTCCAGGAGTGTATTTACTTGATCATTTTAACTTGCAATAACAATCACAACTTCTTTTATTTATAACTCTCGACGCCATGTTACTTAACTTGGGTGTGAGTCTGTTTATAATCCCAAAGCGGCTTTACTCTATTTAATGCGTGGTTTAATTGGTATAGTTCTTAGTAGTATGAATATTTGTCCAGCTGATTAAAGATCATTAGCTCTTTTCCCAGTCAGTAAAGGGATTTGAGCACAAATGGACAGTGGGTTAAAACCATATCAACCCACCCGGATTTTAACCGAACTATCGATTTATTTCAATGCTATTTTCTATCGAATCAATTCAATAGAAATACAAATCGAATAATATCATTAAACTTGAACAAAACTCGATTTATGACAAATACTTAGTAATAAATAATTTATGCCCTCGATTTCGGGCATTAATGGGTTTTAACCAGATTTAAACCCGGAGTTAACAAAACGCCGTTTTAAAACCAGAGCGCATACCGTTGTAAATACAAAAAGCATAACAAGTGTTTAGGAGTTTTATTTTTCTTTAATTTATGTTTTAACAGTTCTTAATGCAAGTGGGGGGTTTAAGGGGCGCCACACGGCACCTACTGTGCCCAATAGTCAACCTCACCTACACGCGGTACACCCTGCGCCTACCGACGAGGCTCTGGCGACCCGCCAACACGCAATGGACCAGCGTGTCGGGTAAATGGCCTAAACCCCCCAAATATATAAATAACACAGAAAATTATCCCCAAGTGCCCGGCGGATACCGCCGGTACCAGTAGCAACCGCGGCGCTGACGAACGTCGTGGAAGCTCTGGCACCCGGGGGGTTCTAATCTCCGGGTGGGATTCGACTGTCGAACGACCCTACCTACGGCTCGGAGACGTCACTTACTATGGCCCTCATAAAAAAGCTCAAAGTCGCTCAACGAGCTATGGAGCGGGCAAAGCTCAGCATTTCTCTAAGTGATCAAATCATAAATGAAGAGATCCGAAGAAGAACGAAAGTCACCGACATAACTCCAAGGATCAGCAAGTTGAAGTGGCAATGGGCAGGGGACATAGGTCGTAGAACTGACGGCCGTTGGGGCAGAAAGGTTTTTGAATGGAGACCACGAACCGGAAGGCGATAAGTGGGACGGCCCCCTACAAAATGAACGGATGACCTGGTAAGGGCGGCGGGTAACCGATGAATGCACGTCGCGTCCGATCGGCTAGTCTGGCAATCTTTGGTAGAGGCCTATATTCGGCAGTGGACGTCAAAACATGAAACATGTAATAAAAAGCGATACCTAAAGAAAAAATCTTGAAGACGGGCAACTTTTTTACTACCTTGTATTTTAGAGTAATGTATGTTGCGATCACATACTCGACCTCCAAACTTGGAGGTAAGGTAATTTCAGTTATGTATGTAGTTGTCTATGGAGGTAATGGCGGCGTTTCGATTTTTTTAACCATCCATTAGGTGAGTTCACATTAGTTGTTACGACACAATACTATGACGATAAAAAACACGATGACGCAGTTAGAGTAATGACTTAGAAATAAACGTAAATGCTTATATTATAATGCAAAGTAATAATGTGGTACAAATAAGACGAGTAAAGACGCAACGATAAAGTTAAAAATGATTTTGCAAAGGTGGCATACGAGATTAAATAATTATTTTGAATTAAAATATAGATTTAAGGTGACGTCCATACCTATATATGTACGAGCTGTAAACATAGTCAAGTAGTGGAACTCCCATCAGGGCCCCGCCAATCGCTCGAGGTTACGCGATAAGTGCCTACCGCTGAATGTGTCGCCGACAGTGCAAGCGCTCTGACAAGTCTTTCATTTACATTACAATCCTTGTACAACCCTTGCAATAGAATGCAACGCTCTATGAGCGTGTGCTTAGGTTACTTTAGTCTCGTAGTGAGCGCCTGGTTTCATTAATCAGTTGTAGTAGGCTATTGTAGCGTGAGTATTTTCGATTTTGTATGAGAGTGATGTATCTGTTACGTAGTAACTATTAAGTAGTCTGTGCTCTCTATTCGGCGCGTAAATGCGTAGGCATTTACAATTAGGCAAGGTGTAGACGTTGCCCTAAGTATAGATAGGGTTGTCATATTAAAACTTAAACATAATTTGAAATTATATTTAATAATTTCTTATGTTTAATTCATAATTAAAAGTATTTTAATGTTAAAGTCATATTACGAACTTGGAGAATAGGTGTTAAATAAAGATTTGTGGAAAAGACCACAGGCTCCACAAACTTGATTAAAAGTGTATTCCACATTTAGGTACCTTTATTTGAAAAGAGCAACTCCTTGAGTATCTTGCTTGTTCCTCTTTGTTAAAAAAATTACGTTTTCAAGTGTAAATTTATTTTATCTATGGAATAAATGGTTTTTTACTTTCACAACTCATCATAGTATTATCGGGCTATATTGAAATAGCCTTTGTTAAATGCCGTATTTACTTATTGATATTTTATGGTATTATGGGAGTATGATTATGAAATAAACATAACAATAAATATGTCTCTGTTTTGGTGTTATTTTTCAACAACTGAGCGAATACTTCATATAAAGAGAAGCGCATGTGACAACCCTTGCTGTGCAACTCGAGTGCATTACGAGATTATGCGAATGTGTGCGCCCGTACAGGGGCGCGGCGAACTTGCACACATACAAGCAGCGCTGCTACATTTGTATGGAGCTACACTACTTGTTTTATGATACTACACTACAGAGAATGTACAAAGTCAAATAACCATTTATTCAATAGGTAAAATTTTTACACTTAAAAAGGTAATTTTTTTAAGTTACTGCTCGTTCACTGTGCGGACTTCCCTGAGAAGTACTACCAAGAAACTCTAGGGATTGCACTTTTCAAACAAACTTAAATGCTATAGAATACATTTTTAATCATATTTGTGTGAAATCAAGGCTCACGTTGTCTTTCCATACATTTTTATATAACACGTAGTCTGCAATTTTGTAATATGACTTTTCAATTAAAATACTTTTAATGCAAGTTTTAAACTTAGGAAATGATAATTTAACATATGCTCCGAAATCTTATTATAAAAACGTATACATTTCCCCCAGAAAAGAATCGTTTACCTTAGTTAGACCAAATCGTGATACCATGAGTTTGGATTTAGTTCTAAGGTTAATATTATGGATATCTTCTTTCTTAACGAAATTATGTATATTTTTACGCGCATACAAAATATTTGGGTAAATATACTGTTATGATACCACAGTCATCATACCAGTCTCCTTAAACTTTTCTTGGAAAGAAACCCGAGAACCTACACGGTGCACAGAACGAATCGCTCGTTTTTGCAACACATATATTATGGTTTGTATATCTGGTTGTACATCTAAAATCTGGTTTATATATAATATACAAAAGAGGAATACCTTCCACGTTAACTATGATTGTTCCAACAACGTTACCGTTCTCATTGATACGATGCATAGTTTCGGTCACGTTAGGGCCCTGTAAAATAATACAGTCATTTTTTTACATGACGACTCATCCGTAAAACAAAGACCTATGTGCAAGACTGCTTATTCTCAGGACATTGTAAATTTCGTTCCTTGTTCTTCGTTGTTGATATCAAATCGACCGTTGTTCGATTTTATATTTCCAAAACGAAATAAGATATAAAAATTCTTAAAGTGACGGGTAGAACAAGTCGTGCGCCTGATGGTAAGCGACACGCCTGTAAATAACAGTTGCAGTGCCACTTAGAACTCTTAATCGCAAAGATCTTAGGAGTGCCTACTGCCACTGTCACTCTGAGACATAAGTTCGACAAGTCCCATGAGCTTGCAATTTCACCAGCACCCGTACCTTTCCTAACCGGAACGTAGTAATAAATTATTTTTATTTTGGTTTGTTTGTCTAAGTGCTTTCAATTCTTTTTTTTCTGTATGTTGTGGCTTCGCAATAATGTCTACTCTGTTTTATTCTATTCTGATGCTTACATTAATTACTGCTTGGAGGCAGAAATGTTTTTAGTTAATTTTTGTTTTGTATTCATTATCTTAATTTTTCTAATTTATATAAAAGTGAGTTACTGACTTACTTTAACCTATTAATTAATTTGTATTTTTGTTCATTAACTTCTCCAATGTTTTATTAAAGAATCTATATCCGATGTGAGGGACCTGGTTTCCTATATTACAAGCTTCTGCTTACTTTAGGTACCAGCCTCTTACAAACAGAATATTAATATCTCTGACTATGTTTGTTATATTTTGATTCTAACGTAACTATTAAAATTGTTATTATTATTAGAAATTGATAAGGTGGTAGTACTTGCCTGGAAGAACTCTATCGCGAGGAGCTCTACTTCTACTAAAAAAATAAAAGTTAAATCGTGCAAAATAACTGCACTTGAAGAATGTCTTCAACAATCCACAACTCGAAACGAAATGTTGTTAGCTACCCTCAAAATGATTTTGGCATCGAATATTTTGATGCTGGAGCTTTTAACGAACGTTTTGTTACATTACATCTCTATTAAAATTGGTGTAAATTCAAATGGCATTAAGTTCGAAGTGGGGAGCCTGGAAGCCTAACACACAGATCTCTGATCTAGTTTAGATTCCAGTCTCCTACAAATTCAATCACTTTAGAAAATAAGATATGATAGCATGCCAACAATTGTAACCAAAATTTGTAAAGAGAAATAAATTTATTATTATTATTTTCATTATATTTTCATAAAACTTTGCAAAAATAAACATTTTGGATTTTCTATTATCAAACCATATACATTTCACACCAAATTTCACGACAATAGCTATATAAAAGCAAAATTTACCCTACAAACCCTATCCCGCATTAGGCCAGCGTGGCGGACTATGGCCTAACCACTCGCCTGAGAGTAGACCCGTGTCCAGCCATGAGACGTATAAGTGGATTGATGAGGAAACATAAACGACCGATTAGAAAAGCTATGATAAGAGTCCCTAGTTTGATTACACAAAGTATCTCATAAACATAGTAACGCTTTGCTTTTATTTTTTAACTTCTGAACATAAGCCTGTTCCAAGGCGCGGAAAACATTGTCGTCTACTAACTAAAATATGGCTAAGTGACAACTGGTCAAATATCCGTTTTAAATAGCAAAAGATAAAGCACAAAATTCCCTTTTAAACAGTTAAATTTAGTTAACGTCTTCGACTTATCCGAACTTACCTTAACGACGCATAACTGAAATATCATTAAATAATTTGAATATTCTAAAACTGGGTTACGGTTTTTTATGATATTTCAAAAAATAAGTTTGTCACTTAGCTGCATTTTAGTTAGCAGGGAGAATAATCGAAAATCTACTTTACCAACATAAAATCAATGCACGAAAATCTGATACTAGCTGGTTCTTCTTCGTATCGATGGCATATAAAATGTAATACAGGAAAGTGATGGTTATGTCGTGCACCTCAACTGGTCGAAAGAAATGAAACTTCTGAAAAGTATTTTACAATATATAACCGAACTTACCATGAATTTGAGTGCAATTTCCATGATTAAAATGTAAAAATATTCAAATAAACTCGGGAAAATTACGGGAGTCGATAAAACTGGTCCAAACGCCGCGTTTTGTGCATTAAATATATTTCACAATTTGACATTCTAGCATGTCAAAGGTTTGTTTCAACTTTTTGTTAAAGAACTTTTTTAACGTGAAGCACATGGCCGTGTAAACATTGTCGAAACGAAAAGAATGCTTAGAAGAGTGCCTATAATTATAATTTTAATCAATTAATTATAACGTACACACTCAAGTCGCGTAGGGAAACCCTGAATCGCGGGTACCATGCATACACACATAGACAACCACAAACTATAGTATATTATAACAAGGAGCTATACTGCTACTACATACAATACCATCATAACCAAAATTTTTGTTTTTTTTATATAACATCAAGTGACGGGACGAACAAGTCGTGCGCCTGAGTGCTAATTTAGTTTTAGAACCAATATCAGCATTTCTTGCTTTTAGCAACCATGGCACTAAAAGTACAAGAAGAAGAACGTGCCATAATCGCCACGCCTAGCATGCGGATTAACTTTCATTTTGAGGAATTGCTGCCAAACGTGGGAGTTTGTCCCTTAGCCTCTTATTTCAACACAAACGATATAGAGTGTTCTTTTTCATAACCAGAGACCCGAGTTTGATTTATTATATTTTCATGATCTGCAGTCATTCCAAGAGCAAACCAATTTTGCTCATTGTAGGATTCTAATAATTCTCTCAATACCTGTTTCAGACATGCAAACTCGCGTGGAAAACGACAGCATGTCATCAGAGGCTGAGGAAGACGTGAAGAAGCTCTGCCCAAAAACCAGAGATCTGGCGAATATTCGCTGTGACCTTGGGGAAGTTAAGACTCTGCTGCCAAAAACCTGGAAGGACAATATTGACCATAATTGCAAAGACATTACTGGCAGTGTAAGATTCACTTTTACCACTTGAAATTTTCAAACTTATGTAAAGTGTTGTTGGATATTTATGTCAGATGTTATTTATTTATAGAACTCCAATATATTTTTAACTCACTGACACGGCAGTTTTAAAAGATCCGATTAGGAAAACTAGGTGTCAGTTCTATGCATTCTGATGCACTGACACATATATTAATTTAGAAATAACAGTGGGTATTATAACATCTGGAACTTATAATAGAAACCAGGTCATTGTTATAATGGTCTGGTACTATGCTTTCAACTTTGTATTGAAACCTTCTTTTCTTATCTAGTTTCCCCTCATACAACCGGGCTGGACGCCTCTTCACGTGGCAAGCGCGTGCGCACGACGTCACTGCACTAGACTGCTATTGGCTGCTGGAGCAGACCCGAACATTGCCGACGTCGCAGGTCGCACTCCATTGGACGTAGCTGGCTTCGCCTATTATTACTCTGAAACTATTAACGTAGACAAGTAAGTAGGAAAAATGCTGAATTGACTTTAGTTTCTGTTTCCTCAACATTACATAATATGACACTGTTGTGGAAAAGTACTATAAAAAGTACTATTTCCAGATAATTTGCCTTTAATTTTCGGTAAAAACCGATAAAAAAGGAAGGGCTTAAATACAGATCCTTGTAGTACACCTATCGTGATTCGAACTCAGTTTAACCAGTCATTTCATAATAGAATATAAATCAATTATAGGTACCTACAGAACAAACCATTCAAAGTAGAACAAATTCCTGTTACATTTTCTCCGAAGCTATTATTTTTTCCGTTCCTGACAAAGATCTGTCATCAGTACTTAATCCAAAATCATACCAATACCTTCTTGTACTTAAGATATTAAAAATCCAAGTCAACTTAGATATATACGTCATCTCAAACTAAATCAGCACCTACCAATTTAGAAACGTTGGTGTCCTAGCGAGAACCGGTAGCAAATGTTAACAATCCCTTCTCTTCAGTTTCACAGAAGTAATAAAAATGTTGCTCAAAGCTGGAGGGCAATTTAATACAATGAAGGCTGGGGGCATAAACAATCTGGACACTCCTCTGCACACGGCAGTTGCACTGGACACTCTTGATACTATTACTGAACTACTCAACGCTGGTGCCTCGATCGCTTGTCTGAACAAAGCTGGTCAAACCCCATTGCATGTCTGTGTATTGAATAAATTGGAAGAACCTTTACAGGCAAGTATTAATATTTAATTACCGTAAGGTGTGTCGAAAATTGTGTTTCTGCAATTTTTCAATGCTGTTTTTGGTTTAAAATATTTTCAGGTATCCCCAAAAACTTTCGTTTATGAAACTGATGTAAAATATCCAAAGTTTTACTTGAATTGTCAATAAATGAAGTCAAGTCAATAATAACATAATAAAATAAGGCAAAGATTTGAAACGAAATTACAAACTTGCAGATGATGGCGAACCACGGGATCAACGACGCAGACCCTCTAGCAGCCATGGTCGACGTTAAAGATGGTGACGGTCGCACTGTTCTGCAGGTGGCAGTTGCCGCAGCGTGGGTGCCTGGTGTCTGTATTGCTTTAGAAGCTGGCGCCGATGTTACTTTAAAAGTAAATAACCTTCAAATTATGGTCCCATACTATGAATAAAGTATTATTATTATATATAGAATGAAAATAAAGTAAAATGTATAGAACAAAATATATACAGAAATACATACATAGGGCGCGCTATAAGTTTCCGGAAATGGCCACTTGCATAAACAATATTTAAAAAGTAATTACAATATTTGAAAATGGAGTTCCAAGCTGTAGAATACAGTTTGTTTCATTTGACTGTCACTTGTTTTTACAATGCGGCGTCATTTTAGAAATTGGTTGTCTACATCACCATGGAATTAACTCGTTAAAATTTTCATAGTATGATTTTCTACGACTTCAAGTGCAATTTAATAGCTCAGTGGAGCTTCGCTCGTCTTCAAACTGCTTTTGGCGTCATCGCCTATTTATCGCAACGACTATTTATAGCTGGTTTGCAGAATTTAAAAGTAGTCGTGTGAATATCAGTGACGAATTTCGTGATGGTCGCCCGTCCACTGCTGTGAACAACAAAAACATCGATGCTGTGTGCCGTATGATCAAAACAGACAGGCATGTGACATACCATGAGATTCGAGCGTCTTGAGGCATAGGCAACATTTGTGTGTGTAAAAACTGTGCCTTCGGTGGATCCCACGCAATTTGACTGAGGCTCAAAAAACGGATCGCGTCACTTGGTGCAATGCCATGCTTACCAGACTCAACGAATGGGTGTCAAATTTGGTGTGGGACATAGTAACAGGTGACGAAACATGGATTTATAGTTACGATCCCAAAACAAAGAAGCAATCGAACGTATGAATCTTTCGAGATGAGCCGAAACCACCCAAAGTGGCGCGCGTGTAAAGTGCCTCTAGGCGTATGACTGCTTCTTTTTTTAATTGAACTGGACACGTGGCTACTGTTGCTTTGGAGAATCATTGTACCGTGAATAATGATTGGTACACGACCATTTGTTTGTCGGAAGTTATTGACAAACTCCGTAAAAATAACACTACGCACCACGATAATGCCAGTTCTCACACGGCCAGACAGACAAATGAATTTTTGAAGGTGAACAACGTTGACATTTTGAGCCATCCCGCGTAAAGTCCCTACCTGGCACCTTGTGAATTTTATTTATTTCCAAAAATGAAGAACCAGTTACGCGATCAACGATTTTCATCACCTGAAGAAGCTGTCGAAGTAATTAAAAATATGTTTCAGAGATTGTCACACAGGAGTGGCATAAATGTTTTCAAAATTGGTTCATTCGTATGAGAAAATGCATTAACGCTAACGGAGAATATTTTGAAAAACAATAATTTAATTTCTGATCATTTATGGTATATTTTTTTATTCATTCCGGAAAGTTATAGTGCGCCCCAAGTATTTAACAATTTATCACAGCCTCTTAATCGTTAATTTGCTTCAGTGTTTGTAACTCGAAGAAAAACTTAAATGTCTTTAAATAATAAACGTAATATTAACTTATCTTCCAGGCAAATAACGGAGAAACACCGGTACATACTGCTGCAGCACTAGGCAATATTGACGTCTTGAACGAAATTCTCAGTGTAGCCAAACAATCAAATTTCATTGACTGCCAAAACGACGAAGGTGAAACACCTCTGTTTAAAGCCATATTTAATGGACATTTGGACTGTGTTCAAGCTTTACTTGCTGAAGGAGCTAAACTGAAAATTACTCTGCCAGGAGACATAAATGTTTTACACGCAGCCGCTGAATATGGCCATTCAGAAATACTAAAATATTTACTTGAATATGACGAAGCTATTACAGATGCATTATTAAATACTTTAACAGCTGCAGATAGAAGAGGTTTTGGTCCCATACATTTCGCCGTATCAAACAATCATGCCGATTGCGTAGAGTTATTATTGTCCAAAAATGCTGATATCAGATTAAGGACTACATGTAGTCCACATAAGTCGTCAACACCTTTGCATATTGCTGCAGTCAAAAACCATGTCGAAATAGCAAAAATATTACTATCTTTTGATAAGACAATAATACATGAAGTCAACAGCATGGGTTGGTTTCCTCTACATTCAGCCGGACATCATGGTAGCAGAGATGTCATAAGCTTACTCCTAAGAGAAGGAGCAGATTTATCAGGCTATACTGATGGTCCTAAGAAATTCAGAAAGACTGCAATAGATTTAATAATAAATAATTTATCGAAACCAGCAGATTTTTTGGAAGAAGTTTTTGATTCTTACATTTCGACAAATAATTTGAATGTGCAAGATCCAAATTGTGAGATATCAGTGGACTATAGAATACTAATGCCTAGTGTGTGTGAAACAGATCAGATGAAAGTGATACAGGCATTGATAAAGACGGGTAATAGATATGGACAAAAGAGATTGCTAGTGCATCCATTGGTGGAGAGTTTTCTTTACCTAAAATGGAAGGCCTTGCTGCCATTTTTCTATACAATAATAGCAATGTACGCGTTATTCGTGATGTCATTGACCATTTTTAGTGTGTCCGTATTTTTCTATAAAGACACGGCGGATAAACCACCAATGTGGCTGAGTCCATTTATTTGGGTATATATTGTCTACATTTCAATAACCTTATTGCTTTTACAGGTAAGACCTTACAGTCAAAAAATTACGTTTAGCAAATACTTAAATCAGCTGCCGCAAAAGTATATTCTACTGCTGCATCTATAGGTTTCCCCTTTATAACTGCCCAAGTAAATGAATGACATTATGTGTTCTACTACACTTGGAAATTGGTCATTTGAAGAGTTGTGTAGTTACTTTAGCCTTAACATAATTTGACTATTTTGTCACCAGGAACTTCTCTACATGAACATTAAAAGCAGTCGGTACTTCCTCCAAATGGAAACGTGGACCAAATTCGGTTCCATCGGCCTAGCCGCCATCTTACCGCCTGCAGTCATCATAAGCTCTTGGTCCGAGGGGGATTGGTCTCGACATGTGGCCACATTGGCTTTGCTGCTATCCTGGGTGGAGTTAATGTTCTTATTGTCTAGATTCCCAAATTGGGGATACTATGTACTCATGTTTGGCAAGGTCGCTTCTAATGTTGTGAAGGTAAGTTGTATGATATAATCTGGATAGAAAATCTTGGTATGTAATTCATATAATGTTTTTAGCCTATGGGATTAATAATAAAATCCTGTGCTCATGTTGCATATTTATGTAAATGTAAAAGTGTAATACAATAAATACTAAATATTCGTAACATTTTCTTGGCATTTCTGTCTTGAAGTTCCAAGATCGTATGCTGCAATACTGAACCATTACACAGTGTCGCCAAAGATGATGTTACATAATTTGTTTTTGGTTTCAGATTCTCGCAACATTTGCATTTTTAGTAATCGGTTTCTCCCTCTCTTTTATGATACAATTTAAATCAAAGATACCCTTCGAAGGCCCCTGGGCTGCATTGGTAAAAACCATGGTCATGATGACTTCAGAGTTCGACTACGTTGCTTTATTCGACGAGGAACATTCTAAGGACTTGGCCGCTTCTTTAGTAATCGTTAGATTTATATTTGTCGTATTTCTGATCCTTGCTGCAATTGTTTTAATGAATTTAATGGTTGGTGTAGCTGTTAATGACATTAATGATTTGGAGGTTCTTGGTAATATCAGAAGATTGGCTAAACAAGTCGAGTTTTTAGGCACTTTAGACACTCTAGTCTATAACAAAATATTTACTACTATTTTACCAAGAAAAGTCAATCGTAGTATAAAGAATAAAAGAAACGTGGTTGGGATTTTAATTCTTTATCCTGGAAAACCCAGATGGCGGCATTACAAATTATTGCCTTCGAGGTTACGAGACGCCATTCTAAATAAAGCCTTAACACAAAAGAAGCAAATGGATGATGAATTGGGTTTACAAAGATTTAGAACTAAATTAGATGAAATGTATGAAGCTATTATGAACAGAAAAGTAGAAAAAGACAAGAAGCAGCTGGAACCTTCTGAAGTAGATAGGCCTGTCAAAATAGTAAGACAGGAAAGAATAATAAAGCATTTGAGTGATTTAGATGATGATATGGAAGAAATGAAAAATTATATGATGGAGAATGTAAAAGAGTCAAAATCAGATATTCAGCAGTTGAATGTTAAAATAGATCAAATGTCTTTGGACATTGAAGTTATTAAGCAACTTTTAAGTAGATTGGAAAGTAAAATTGGTGCTACGAAACAATAGAATAAATTTAATTTTAATAGAAATAAATTTGATAATTACCAACAGGTAATCAAATCGCGAAAAAGACACTTGATCGAAATGCCTATTCGTCACTTTGATATTTATGACAATGAATAAGCACAGTTTTGGAGAATTTTAATAGTAAAAAAAATCTGCCGTCTGAAGTGTGCAACAAGGCGGAACTTGAGAAGTCAATAATCAGTAACATTGGTTGTATAAGTGTAACATGCTATTTGATTCCCAATTATTAGGCCTAAAATATATTAAAGCCTCTAATTATTTCATTAAAACATAGTACCTATGATTCAAACAAAATGTAAAAAAGCTCAAACAAAACTTTAATATATTATTGTAAAATAGTACGTAATTAATTTTTATCTTGTAACCATTTATAAAATTTATATTAATTGTAAGTCTGTTACATATTTATAAGTGATATGGCCATAGATAATAAAAATATACTTTTTTACAAAAAGCAGAACAAGACGGTCCCATGTCCGACGTAAACTCAGAGGATGGAAAAAATAAAAGGACGTAAAGTATGCATTGGTTTTTTTAATTTTTTACGCCACAAATGTTAGATATTTGTTAAATATTTATTAAAGAATTTATAGTCGGTTTTAGTTATTTTATTGTTATAAAATTCATTTGGTGTTAAACGAATATTTAAAAAAATAGTGATAGGTGATTAACGTTTTTGTAATTTTTTTCTCCGATGCTCCCTCTGAGTCTGTTGTCCATCCTTTACGGAGTCACCGAACAAATGTTCTGTTTACACTCCGTCCATGATGTTTATGAAACTAGCAGGAAATGGATACTAGCAGAATTGAGACAATTAGTCTCACAAGCCTTCATTGCGAAAAAAAATATAAATGTTTTTTTTTAAATGCTAATAACCTCTCTGGACTACATTACTAACATCTTATAAACAACAACTGTTGTTCCATGACTTTTTATAAAACATAATAAATTTACCAATTTAAAATTTACCAACTTTAAAGTTTTAGTTTTACTATCTGACAATTTCTAGATCTGTATTTGGTAATAACGGAAGTTCAAACGTCCTTCGCACTGACTCCCACGCGGCACAGAGTTATTAGTTCGGTACCGTTTAGAGCGATCTATTTATAGTAATTTTATGCAATTGTTTCATAATGAGAAAGTCGAGTACCGTGTTTAGGCCACGAGGCTTTGCCGAGTAAATATTCGTTCTTATTCATTATTTTATTTACTCTTAGAAAAGATATTTTATGCAATCATTACATAATCAGGTCTTAAAATCTCTTACCTATTACTCAAGCCACTCGACAAAGCCTCGTGTCCTAAACACGGTACTCAATTTTAAGAACCCTTATTATGCAACGATTGCATAAAATACTGTTCATATATAATTACAATATTACTAATCACTAAAGACTTTTTTGTTTATTGGCAATATGGATACCTTTTGTCTTTTTTTACTCCCAACCATTGACTTACAAATAAATGGACGACGGGTCTAATACAAAAACCACGAAAAAAATGTCTCAAGTCAACCTATTTAAACGTGGCGATATGTAAAGGAATATGAAAAAGCTAAAACGTTGAATTTAAATTGTAATGTCATCGCAGTACTGTCTAATTTTGCTTGCTTCGCTGTCAGTCGAACATGCAAGCGTGAATGATGCTCTGTATACGATTTTAACGCCCTATAAGTTCGGACACTTTTCAGCGCTGACCCGACGTCCATATAATTGTAAGTCAATGCCCCCAACGCAAAAAGAGTAGTGTTTAGTTTGAAGGCTTTCTCTGTGCCTGTCTGTGGCAACGTAGCTCCAATTTTTTTTAATCTGAAGTATAATCAGGATGTTTCTTATTTATAATTGATGAACATCTATTCAGCTAAATGATTATCACTAATTTTAGGCTTCTTACCACGGTATGACTTCTTTTTATTTTCCCGATATTTCGGAACGGTTGCAAGTTCTAAAATCTATCTATTCAGCTGTTTAAAAGTAATCAGTTCTTCCCTGTTATAGCGCGTTTTCGCATTGCATCCGATTGGTATTCTTTCCGAATCCGAGATAATATACAAATACAAATCTAATAGTATACAAATCTTGAAACCTCGGACCCACTTCGGATGTCCCTTGTGCACTAAGTCCGATTGTGTATTAAGGACGACGGTAAATAAGAAATTACTAATTCGATTGAGGGCTTTAGCTTATAACCTTAGAGAATGGAAAAAAAATAAAAGAAAGGAGCTGCCCTAACTACACAATCAACATGCTTATAACCAAAATTTGAAAGTTACAAATGGCGGATTCCTTTAGTGTTGTACCATAACCTATCGATAAGTCATTATCAACATGCAAATGTATGGCTTGAATGTTGAAACTGCTTTTTTTTTGTTTCTTTAGTTTACTGTAACCAAAGTATGCCTAACAAACATAAGTCTAATCATTTAATCACGAGTGGTATATTATTATTAAACCGAACGATGGCAAGGCAAGGCAAATAGGCTGTCTATACGTTGGTATTGGCCTTTACCCGGCAACGTTGGACTAACATGTCATTGTATTGCAGGCTTTAAAAAAATAGTCATTTTTAATAGTTACAGTTGGCATTGGGAAAAACAGAAACGAGTGGATAATTTTGTTTTCAAGAACTGAGAATAACTAGTAAATGAGTTTTGTTTAATCTACATTGAACATATAATTATTTACCAATAGACCTAATGATGGAATAGAATGTCATGTAATCTAGTTACATTCAAAGTTCTGTTAAAATTTGACTCTTCAAAATGAAGCGAACAAATGAAATGTTCTTTGATCCAACGTTTATATTCGGCAATCCTATGATTTCCAACCATTCTTTCTTCCTTTTTTCATTTGTTGGAAAACTTGGAATAATAAAAATAATAATAATAATAATAAAACAATAAAAACCTCGTAGTGCATTGTTTTAATAACAGAATATCAATAATATGTATGCTTACAAGATCAACTCACTCAAAATAATCGTTAACAACAATCATCAAAATATACAAACAAACTGGCGATCTAAAGTAACCAAAGCAAAATTTGGCAATATTTATAAATAGACTACTTAAATAAGTCTAATTACATGAAATATTTGGGCTATTGTATGATTTATAGACAATAAAAAACATATGCTTGTGCAATGTAACAGTCGATTGATTTGCACTTTTTCTAAAGCCACATCTCTTAATACTGCAGCGTCGCATTTTTATTCATACCTAATTATTCTCACTGTCAATAGTTTTGTCCAATTTAATTATAATACATGCGAATAATGTAATAGTACATTTGGAAAAACATTTGTTTTGACATTTGATGTACTTCCCTTTGACAACGGTACCATGTACCTCATGTACTGCGAAATGGACACGGTTGGCATTTAAGTTTGACAGTTTGACACAGACCAATGTAATGCTATCTCTTTTGGCTTAAGACGGCACGTAGTAGTTAAACAAAGACAATGACATGTTTATGTTTTCGACGTCGATATGCATCATATACATATAACGTCTAATTTATATATGTCAACGTAACATATCCTTTAGTATCCATAGTCTAAGTATATAACTCGAGTTTTTGTTTTTTTTTTTTCACCGTCTGTGATACATACAATGTTTTTCATCACATTTGCGAGGAAATAAATGCAATGTTTATTTCTTGTATGAAAATATGGTTCACAACACAGTGAGAGTCAGAATGGCGGGTGTACCTTAACGGATCCTGACAAGTTAGGTCAATGAAAAAATGTACCTAAATTGTACTATTTATAGCATTATCAAAGGTACACCCGCCGTATTGACAGTCAATATGGCAGGTGTACCTCAGATTACCAGTTTTAATTTAACACATAGGGCACACTATAAGTTTCCGAAACTAGCCACTTACATAAGCAATATTTAAAAAGTAATTACAACATTTGAAAATGGAACTCTTTGGCTGTAGAATACAGTTTGTTTCATCTGACTGTCACTTGTCTTTACATTGTGGCGTCATTTTAGAAATTGGTTGTCTACATCACCATGGATTTAACTCGTAAAAAATTTCGTAATAAGATTTTCTACGACTTTAAGTGTAATGTAACAGCTCAGCTCAGCCAGCTCAGAGCTTCGCTCGGTTTCAAACTGCTTCAAACGGTGAAGCACCACGCATGATGAGCTGGTTTGCAGAATTCAAACGCGGTCGTGTGAATATCAGTGACGAATTTCGTGATGGTCGCCCGTCCACTGCTGTGAACAACAAAAACATCGATGCTGTGCACCATATGATCAAAACAGACAGGGCATGTGACATACTATGAGATTCGGGTATCTTTAAGCATAGGCATGAGTCAAATACAGTTAATACTACACAAACACTTGGGTGTGAAAAAGCTGTGCTCTCGGTGGATCCCGCACAATTTGACTGAGGCTTAAAAAACGGATCGCGTCATTTGGTGCAATGCCATGCTTACCAGATTCAACGAAGGGGTGTCAAATTTGGTGTGGGACATAGTAACAGGTGATGAAATATGGATTTATAGTTACGATCCTAAAACAAAGCAGCAATCGAGCGTATGGGGCTTTCAAGATGAGCGGAGAACCAACCAAAGTGGTGCGCGTGCAAAGTGCCTCTAAGCGGATGATTGCTTCTTTTTTTTTAAATAAAACTGGACACGTGGCTATTGTTGCTTTGGAGAATAGTTTTACAGTGAATAGTAATTGGCACACGACCATTTATTTGCTGGAAGTTATCAACAAACTCCGTAAAAATAACCGTAAACGCCATATCATCTTGCACCACCATAATGCCAGTTCTCACACGGCCAGACAGACAAAATATTTTTTGAAGGTGAACAACGTTGACCTTATGAGCCATCCCGCGTACAGTTCCGACCTGGCACCTTGTGACTTTTATTTATTCCCAAAAATTAAGAACCAGTTACGCGGCCAATGATTTTCATCCCCTGAAATGGCTGTCGAAGAGTATGAAAATTATGTTTCA